ATAATTAATTTTGTTTATTTCCGACTAATCTTTCTTTTACTTTCTATTCTTGATAAATAATAATTATTTTTTTTTTAATCATTTCATTTATTTTTATTACGGAATAACCTTTAATTTTTTTTCCTATCATCTGTTGTCATTAATAAGTTTTTATCAGTTAGCTAAGAATTTATTCTTATTTAATTACTTAAAAAATTTAATCATATTTTTTAATTATGTCAATTTATTTATTGATTTATTAATTCTGGCCAAATCTATTAATTATGATTTCTTTCATCTTTTTTTTCTTTGTACTTTATTTAATTTAATAATAGCTTAGCATTTATGCATTAAAAATAGTTGTATCCATCATCATTTCTAATAATTTGATTTTATTTCAAATTTTAAGAATAAAATTTCGATCATTTATTGGTGATTCAAAACATTTTGCAAAATTTCTAAGAAATTTACATTTCATAAATGAATATATTATTCATAATTTAGGCTAATAATAATAATAGTAAATAAAAGTAAAAGTAATTATTTCCAATTTATAAAAATACTACAATTTAATTTCTTTCTTTTTTCCTCAATTATTAAATCAAATAAGATGAAATTTAATTGTAAAATTTTTTTTTTTGATAAAAATATTAAAAAATAACTTTTACGTTTTCTTTTTTTCTCTTTCTTTTCTCTCTCTTTAATGAAATCAATTTCATCTTTAAATATTTTTTATTTCTTAAAGAGAGAAAATAGAGTATTTACAAAAAAAAAAAATAAATAAATAAATTTTGTCCTCTTTATTTGCTAATTAATTTCAATTAATGTAATTAATTTCATTAGAAGGAAAAGAAAAACTGTGCAATAAATTTCATAAATTTTTACTTAATTATTAATTTGCTGTAATTTCTATCAATTAATAATTGTCGATTTTCACTAATTTTTTTTTTTGACTTTCTAAATTCTTAAATGGATAGTTCTTCTTTTTTCATTTTTTAAGTATAACTTTTTAAGTATAACTTAAGTATAATAATAGTAAGTATTATTAAATAAATCAAAAAAAAAAAAAAAAAAAAAATTCATATCAATTTAAAAATAAATTGAATTTACTATATTCTAGAAAAGGCATAAAGCATATTAGCGCACCTTATATTTATTATAAAAATTTTAATTTCATAAAAGATAAATTCTTATCATTTTTAAAATGAACTAAATATATTGAAGATTAAGATGTATTATGATTTAATTTTGGAAAAAGATAAATTGAAAAGGTAAAACCAGTTTTTCAATCATTAAAATTTCATTATTCATTTCTTTTCTTCCTTCTTATCATTCATTCCCTTTTCTCTTTCTTCTCTCCTTTTCCCTCCCTCCTCTCTCTCTCTCTCTCTCTCTCTCTTCTTTGTTCATTCTTTTCATAGTTTAAATTTCATTTTTGTTTAAAATACACTTTCTATCATTGTATTACATATATTTATTTATTTAAAGTGACAGTAATTTTTTTGACATTTTTTTCTTAATTAAATTTTTTTTTTTTTTAAACTGTTACACTATTTTTATTTAAAATTTTATCACTTTCTTCTTCTTTTTTTTTTTTTTTTTTTTTTTTATAATTGATATTAAATTTATCAGTGAATGATAAACAATATAAAAGAGAGATGAAAAGAAGAAAGAGAAAAGAGATATGAATAGATGGTCATTTATTTGTTCTAATCATCATTCAACTAAATTCAATCAAATTTTCTTTCTATTTTATTTACATTCTTTTTTCCTGAAACAAATTGATAATTAATTAATTTATTAATTTATTTAAATATAGTAACAAAAAAATTAAAAAAAAATAAAACTAATACCAATTTTATTTTATTTTCTTCTTCTTTCATTTTTTCTTAATTGTTCTCTTTGTTTTTTACAACAAAAAAAAAAATTTCATTTTTTAAATTTATCATTGTAATTTAATTTTTTTTTCACACTTTTAATAGTTTTTGGTATAACTTTTTTGTCTTTTTCTTTTTTCGCACTTCGAATGCATTAAAATTTTAATTAAATTGTAAATTTAATTTGAATTAATTGTTATTATTAAAATTTAGCACCTTTTTTGACCTTTTTTTTCGTCAGTTTCTTGCTTTATTAACCAATGGTATTATCATATAATTAAATTTGATATAATATATTTAATTTATATTTTAATTAATAATTATATTAATATATTTAATATAATTACCGTATTCGAAAATATAATCCTATATGTAAACCATATACAGTGGAAAATCATAATTAAAGTAAGTTTATAACTTTTTTTTTTCAAAGTTATCTATAAAGTTAAACTGTAAAAATTTATAGTAATTAAAGAACGAAAAATAAAAGCAAAAAGTTGGTATAATTAAAATTGATATAATTAAAAAAGTTGAGCCAAGAATGAGGAATTCAAATGGAAATTATAATTAGTAAAAACTGAAATTAGAAATAACAAAAAAAAAATTATAGTTTTAAATTAAAATTTAATTGTTGAAATTTTAAAATTCAATAATATATACTTTTTGCCCACTATTTTTATAAAGCGATACCGATACAAGATTTTTTATAAAATTGTTTCATTTTGTCATATCATATTTTATTTAAATTGTTCGATAATTAAATGTTAGATAATAATTAATGTTAGTAATTAATAATAATTAATGTTGATTAATGTTAATAAAATAATTCATTCATTCAAACTTTTGGAAATTTCTTTTTAAAAATTTTGTTTTTTGCAAAGCAGAAAACAAAAATTAAACTCAAAAATTAAACCTTAAATTTTTTACTTATTCCTTCCACACATTTTTTTTCCTCTCAATTCTTATCTCTTAATAAAAAGGAGAAAAACAAAAAAAAAAAATTTAAACGAATTAAAAAAACTGTTCTCGAAATTTTTTAAATTCTGAAAATAATTACTTATTATTATTATTATTATTATTATTATTATCAATTATATATAATAACATGATAAATTTTTTGTAAATATTCACATTTAATAAATTATAAATTTTTTCATTCATGCAAGCATTTTTATTGTTAATTTTCAACTGGAAATTTAAAAGAATATTTGATTGATTAATTTTAAATCATTTATAAAATATAGCTAATATAATCTCATATGAGATTAATTCGATTTCTTATTTATCGCACAATTTTTGATGATTAAAAATTTAAAATTGTGATTAATAATTATAATGATGATAAATGCAATTAGTTGTAATTAAATTAAAAATATTGTGAATGGGATTAATCATATTTGTTGAATATAGTTTAGGGATTCTATCAACTAGATTCCATTAAAATATTTCGAATAATTAATTTAATTAATTAGTGAAAATTCGTTTTATCTATAAAGATGATATGAAACTTACAAACAGTAATATTTCATTTTTTTTTTTTTTTTTGAAATTTCTATTCTGATAGCAATTAAATGATAAAAAATTGTTAAATAATTTGAAATTTGAAATAGTGAATGGCTATTAACTATTAAAAAATATTTTTAATATGTAATGAAAGGAAATGAAATTAATTTTAAAAGAATCAATTGATTATAAGAAGAAATCTCGGAAAAAAAAAATTTTTTTTTATCATAAGTTGTAAGTAATTGATTAATTTATTTAATTATAAGTGATAATTAGGTAAAAAAGTACATTAATCAGTCTACAAATATTATTGTGCTATAAATTTAATGTGATGCTTATTTCATTTATAATTTTATTATAATTACCATTAATTATGCATAATTTTTTTTGTAACTGATTGAGCTAAATTATTTTATTAAAGTGCTAACATTTTGATTGGAATTATTAGTAGCAAAATTGGAAGAATTGAAAAATAAGATAAAAAATAAAAGATATATTTAAATTTTTCTAAAAAGAAAATATTTAATTTTTTTTTTAAAAAAAAATGAGAAAGGAAAATTGTTCTTTATTAAAAAAGAAAAGTGAAAGTTAATATAGAACTATTAAGATTAATTGAAATGGAAGTGATAATGCGTGAAAAGAACGATAAAGTTTAACAAATTAGCGCCTATTATTAATTATATAATCAATAATTAAGGATAGAACATTGATAATAAAAGCAACAATGATAATGATAACAATAACAATGATAATAATAAATAGTAATAATAGTAATAATAGCAATAACATTAATAATGATAACAATAAGTAATAATAAACGATAATCATTATTATTATTATTATTATTATTATTATTATTATTATTGTTATTATTATTTTATTTAATCTTCGTTAAACATTATTCTTTATTATTTATTATTATTTCACATACATTTCATTTTAATTTGTACAATTCTAATCGTTGGTTCGTACATTTTTTAATATTTTATTGCATTACTACTAATAATAATAATAATAATAATAATAATAATAATAATAATAATAATAATAATAATAATAATAATAATAATAATAATAATAATAATAATAATAATAATAATAATAATTCTCATTTATCTTATTATGAATTAATTGAATATTTGATCAAACAATGATTTATAATTGTTTTATAAAATTTTAACTTTGGAAAAGTAATTATTTTATTCTTTTAGTATTATTGTTATTATTGTTTATTACTTTTATTATTGTTATTTTCACTTTTATCATTATCATTGTTATTTTTACTTTAATTGCCATCGTATTATTATTGTCATTATTATTATTATTTTATTATTCATTACTACTGTAAGTAATAATTATCAAGAAGCATATTGCTAGAAGAAATTAGCTTACTAAGCTAATTAATGGAATTAATTTTAATATGATAGAAAAAAGAAATTACAGTATGAAATAATTCAATGATTAAAGATAGCTGATGAAAATTGCTGAATTTGAAAATGAAATGAAGATGTTACTATGATGAAAATTAAAATTAATTAACTAATAAGTGAATGTTATTCAGAATATTAGCATATGGTCGAGTGAAGAACGATTAATAAATTCAATTAAAAAAGATGAAAACAGTGGTTGAAATGATATAAAATGATGGAATCTGTAATGGTAAGTATTAATTTAATCCAGAAAAAAAAATTGTGTATAAATTATTTATATGGTAGAAATGAGTTATATAAAAATTTTCAATTAAAACAAACAATAATTAATTCTAACACCAAGTTTAGAATTAGACAAATTTTATAGAAACAATATATTTTAGATTAAAAATAAATGAAGAATAATCAGAAATTATTAATTTACTTTGTGAATTGAATTAGAATAAAAATAATAAGGATAGAAATGGATGATATATTGTAGAGTATTCGATATGTCATAAATTGTAGAAGGTTATGAATAATTAAATTGTAGAGAGGTATAAATAATAAATAAAAATAAGCCATGGAACATGAAAAAATCAAATATTATAAATTTCAATTCCAAAATATTTCAATAAATCAATTACAGTTATGTTGCACACTGTACAGACACACACATACACGCATACATACAATCACAGACACTGACATACACGCACGCACAAACACGTAAATATGCGTGTGCAAAATAGTACACGTATGGTAATGAAACTTTTTGCTTTTTCTTTTTAATTACAAAAGATTTTTACATATAATTTTTATACTATTAGTTTTGAATTTAAAATTTTAAAAAATCAAATTACCAATTTAAAAAGCAAAATCGAAATTAGAAGTAATGGAAGTTAGCATTACTGTGTATCTTCAATAATTTTGGAATGAAATTAATTTATATTAATTACTTTAAATGTAGCATTTAAAATAATGTGAAAAATGGTAGGTTTGTTTGGTAAATTGACACGTAGTAGCTCATGATTTGTTTCATTGGTACAGCTGATTCATAATTGATTGTATTAATTATTGATAGTTAAAAGATTAGTTATCAGCAATTGATAGATTGAATGAAAATGGATTGAATTTTACTGACAATTGAAACAGAGAAAAAAATGTATAGAATTCGAAGTTTAAAAGTGATAAGTAATATAATTTGTTAAAAAAAAAGTAATATCACAAAACTATCAGAATATTGCTAAACTTTAACAAATACTGTAGCTTGTCAGACATAGTACTGTAACCGAACTTCAACAAATACTGCAGTTTGTCAGAAATGCTACTGTAACCAAACTTCAACAATTACTGTAGTTTGTAAATGGTACTGTAACCAACCGTGGTGGATACTGTAATTGAATAACAATATTACTGGGCAGGATATGTGATATAAATATAATGAATGAATTAAAGAAGAGAAAAAGATAGAAAGTCTTTAAGAAAAAAAACTGGAAAAAAGAGTTCAAAAAAAAGAAAATAAAACACATAATGCATGTATTATTAAAAGAAATGCAATTGTTTATAATTTTATTAATTCTATGCCGTATAACATACTTAAAAAAAAATTTACACGAAATATGTTTAAGGTTAGGGTTGAAAAAAAAATATCGAGATAATACTAGTCTATTACGTTTGCAATGTATCATAATTTAAATGGATAGATGACGATTTGCTTTATATAAAAATTATAATATATAAAAGAAACAATATAAAAATATAATCAAATAACAATATGAAAATTGTAATGGGAATAGTAATTAATAATAATATTGGGTAATAATAGCGGTAATAATAATAATGATAATAATAATAATAATAATAATAATAATAATAATAATAATAATAATAATAATAATAATAATAATAATAATAATAATAATAATAATAATAATAATAATAATAATAATAATAATAATAATAATAATAATAATAATAATAATAATAATAATAATAATAATAATAATAATAATAATAATAATAATAATAATAATAATAATAATAATAATAATAATAATAATAATAATAAGTAATAATATTAAAGCTCTTTTTGATTATTAATTACATTTCTTTTTGTTTGTTTTTAATTCTATTAATCAGATTTTGTTTACATTATGCATAAAATTATTTAATTGTTCAACTGTATTCAATTAAATTAATTTCTTATTCAAAAATGAAATGCCACTCACACAGTTTCATTCATTTGCTTTTCCTACTTCTCTTTGTCTATTTAATACACTCTCTCTCTCTCTCTTTCTCTTTTTATCCCATCTGTTAAATTAAATTTTCAGAGAAAAAGTTTTTTTTTGAATTGTAAAATAAATTGTTTTAATTTGTAATTTACAACTAATAGTTATTGTATTATCTTCATCGATTTTTATTTATAATTAACTTTGAAATTTTAAATTACTTTTTGTACTTTGTGGTTAAATTTTTAATTAATTTTAATAATATAAAACGATTACTGCTGTCAAAATTTTTAATTTACGTCAAATTTAAGTTTAATTTTTTAATTTTCAATTTTTTAATAATATTTTATTTGAATATATCAAATGGTTTTTCAATTTTAATTTCAATTATTCAAATTTTCAGTTAATTTTTGTTCTCTTTGTTGGCTGTTTTGGTTTAAATGTGAAATATTTGGATAGTGATGTGCAATTACAACCGTTATCATCAACAATAAATCATTTTAATAATACTCAATCACGAAGATTCGATACAGTGAAGTATTGTTTTAGTTTTTTTTAAACTTTTTTTTTTGATTTTATCTTTGATAACAATTTAATGATTGATAGTAATTGATAAAATAGATTGTCTGCTTTTTAGCATTTTTTTTTAAATTTAATACTTTTAAAAATTGATATTTAATCCTTAAATGCAATTAAAAAGTCCAAAAAAAAAAATAAATAAGTCTATTGAATGATAATTGAAATTATCCATAGAATTATATTTGGAATGATTTGAAAGAAATAATATTTGAGAATCAATTTTAATTATAATATTTATATAAATACCAATGAATTTTTTTGTGATTAATTTCATGAACAAATATTTAAATATTTTACTATCACAATATCATTTTATTAAATTTGTAAGCACAGAAAAGTATTAAACAACTTTAATTAATTTAATTAAACTTTTTATTGCATGAGTATTATCAAAATCTATGAATGAATGTTTTTTGATGATTATTTTGGCTAAATTTTATTTTCAAAATAAAATTAAAACAAAAAAAAAAAAAAAAAATAACTTTCAAAAAAAAAAAGAGAAAAACGAAAAATTAAAACGAAAATAACTAATATATTCTATTTTACAGTGATGATAACGATATCAATTCACAATTATTCAATGGTATTCGTGGCTTACCTGGTCTAGAATTTCAAATTAAACCTAAAGCTTTTTCATATGCTAATCTTCTGGCTGCTTCAATTATTGATGAAGAAATTCGACGAATTCGAATATTACCAGTAAAGCAATGTTTTCAACAAGTAAATTTCTCTTAAATCACTCCAATAACACTCAATTTTTTTCTTCTTATATTTAAAATATTTTTGGAAAAAACAAAAAAACAAAAAAAAAAAAAGAAGCAAAAGAATTGTTTTTTTTTTCTTTTAAAACAAAAAATTTAATTTCAGTTTAATGGTTGTATTGCAATTTCAAATTTTATCATTTCACGATATCGATGTCCTCAATTGGTGACATTTCATCCGGCACCACCAAATCGTCTTATTTTCACCATTCGAAATTTCGATCTTGAGTAAGTATTGTAAAGGTAATCGATGCTATTTTAAAACAAATTCCAATTTTTATGGTAAAAAAATTATAATCCAAAAAATTTTTAATTTTTGTATAAAATGTTGATACCTTTGGATTCTTAGAAAAACAAATATTCCATATAGCAATTAATTATACAAAAATTGAAAAAAACAGGATAAATGAAAGAGTTATCGAAAATTTACATTAATATTTTTAATAATGCAATGAATTTGTTTTTTTAAATGTTTCAATTTTTTTTTCATTAAAAAAATTATTAAAATAATTATTTTAACATTAAAAAAAAAAAAACGGAAAGGAAAATAATAAATTGAGATTTCAGGATAAAAGGAGATATTAATGGTGAAATTAAAGTAATATTACCTATTAAACTCAATAGTACTGTATACACACGTTTTCATCAGGTCAAAATTATTAGTTTTATTAATTACCATATTAGCTCCAAAAAAAAAAAAAAAAAATCAATAAGTTAATTAATTAATTATACAATTTTAGATAAAAGATTATTTGATATCTATGCATAAGAGTATATTATTAGTTATATTAAGTTTATTACTATTTTTATTTCATTATTAATTTATTATATATTTAATATATATTAATTTACTAGTTTACTATATTTAATTATTAAAAAATTATATTAAAGATTTTTTTAATGATGATATTTTCAAATGAATAATATTTACAAAATAATATATACTGCATTTTTTCTTTTTAAAAAAAAATTTTTTTTTTACTAAATTTCTAATAAATGTACAATTTTTTCTTTTTTGCCACAAAATTGATAATTAATTAAATTTGAATAGAAATTTTAATAGATTTTAACCACTGTTCAATTAACTATTCATCGTAAATTAAATGGATCACCATATGTTCGTAATATTGGTTGCTATGTAACTGCTGGTTTTAGCGATGTTTTTTTACAAAATGGTGGTATTTTGGAAGATATTTTCAATTCCAATTTTCGGGTATGTTAATAAATTTACCTTAAATAAGTAAGTAATTAAATAAGTAAAAAATAAGTAAGTAAGTATGCCAACAATTAAAATATCATTTTTTATTATTTAATTAATTACAATGAACAGATATTACAGGAAAATTTCAGGACTTCATCATTTTAAAAATTCTTTTCAAATATATTCAGATTGAAATATAATGTGCATATAAACTTGAAATCAGATTTTTTATTTTGATTCAAAATTAATTTTTTAATTTTTGAAATTTTAGCAAAACATAATTATTGTTAAATGAAGTATGAAAAAAAAAAAAGGAAATATTAATATTTTAGTGTTTTATATTTGACTTAATTATATTAAATATATTTGATTTAGTTGTATTGAAATTTTACATTTGATTTCATTTAGACTTCAAAGTTTTTAACGTTTTTTTAGAACCTTTTTTTGCAATTTTTTTTACACGTAACTGACGTAATTTGATTTATCACACGTAAAAAACTCTTTTTCTTCCTTACTAATACTAAATATTAGTTATTCATTTGAAATATTATTTAATCGAATAACTATAACTAACGGTGTGCATTTTTTTTTTTACTTAAAAACTTTACTTTTACCTTTTTTTTTTTACTTAAAAAATATTGAAATATAAAGTGAAATATGAATTTATTCATTGATATCTTTCATTGACTAATTTAATTTAAACAAAACCATAATACTCTTTTTTTCCTAAAATTGTATAATTAATTAATCGATTAATTAATTACTTTATTGAATTTTTTTTTGTAGGGTAGTACGGTAAAGCAAATTCGAAAGCAATTACCAATTAGAGTTTGTCAAATGATACGGAATATTGTTAAAAAAAAGATCAATATACCACTTCAAAAAGCATCAAAAGTAATTCCACTTAGTGAAATGATCAAATTTGCAATTAATAATATTAAAATATCAAATTTACCAAAACATGTAAGTTTTAATTTTTAATTTAATTTCTTTTCAAATAATTTTAATGTGAAAATTATTATGTATATCAAATAAAATTCAAAATTTTAATGAATATTTTGTAGAATTTATGATTATAATTAGAAATGAAAAATGTATGAGAAGAAGGAAGAAAAGAAAGGCTAACATTAAGATTGAAATATTTTTTTTTTTTTAATTTTTAATAATTAATTCCAATTATGCAATGAAATTAATTCGATTTAATATTAAGTATAAATTACTATTATTTTTAATAAAATTATTATTTTAAATTAATAGTAATGCATAAAAAATCTGTGTATAAACATATTTTGTATAATTTCTTCAATGCATTGCTATATAATCTATTTAAAAGTTTTATTTTTTTGCTGTTAGCAGAGAATTTTATTTTAGTACTTCAAAAAATTTAATTTAGAGAATTTATATTTATTTAATCAAAATTAAATTATATCAATTATAAAAGTTTGTATATTTTAGTAAATGAAAAATTTTCTCTGAATTTTACGGAAAATTTTTCAAATTTTTAACAAAGAATTTTTTATTGAATTGCAATTAATTTATATTAATTATAATTAAATGATTAATTTTTTTAGTGTTATATGGAAATGTGTAAAAAAAAGATGCAAACTGATAAAAGTGCTTTTCATTTTTCTACTTCAAAAAAAAAATTGAACTTATCACTTATCAGTGTATCCGACACTCATCATATAACTACAAAAAATGATAATACAGTAAGTAATCAAAAATTATATCTAATGTAAATGATATAAGTGATAAACAAATACTACTAAAAATGTTTTTATTAATTAAATGATTTGTTTAATGATAACAAAATTTTTATGGCATAAATTATGGAATAAAACCATTTGAAATTTGAAATCAATATAATAATATTAATGAAATAAATAAGTATAGCAAAAAGTTTTTTTCTTTTTCAAATGCTTATATTAAATACGAAAAAGTTTGATAAGAATACATTTTTAAAAATACAAGAATTAATCAAATAATTTTAACAGAAAAGCGAAAAATTAATTTAATAAGCTAATTTTGAAGTTTTTTTTTTTAAAAAGCAGAAGAATAATTTGAAAAAAAAAACATAGAAAAGAAATTCTCGAATAAATTGTTAATTAATTAATTAGTTAATTATAAGTAATGAATAATAATTTAGTGATTATAATTCTACAATATGAATAATATAAGTGTAATATGTCAACAATTTATCAGTTATTATTGATATATATTGAAATACTGCAGCGTTTCACGTTATCACCAATTTCACTGACGACGTCACATATAAGCGTACGTGAAGGAACGAATACTTCAACTATTTTAGATCCTTGTAGTGATTGTTATGCTAATAAGAAATCAACTATATTTAAAAGTTTAATTCGTTCAGACAAATGCATTTATAAAGTAAGTTTTTTTTTTCTTTAAAAAATTAATTTTTTTAAAATATTTTTTTTTTAAAAAAGTTGAAATTTAACTTTTATACATAACACTTTTTTACTATTTAAATCTTCTTTTTTTTGCTATTACATTAAAAATTTTTTTATAAAATTTTTTAAAACATAATATTTTGGAATATTTTTGCATGCATATATCTTTTTTTTATCAAAAAATATTGATGAAAACTAAAAAAAAAAATAATAATTAATTGTTAAAATAGAATTACTTTTTAAAATTTTTTCAATTTTTAAACTCAAATTTTATATTGTCCGTATTTTTTTTCCAAATTTTTTTATTAAAAAAAATATTATTAAGTGCTATTTTATAAGTTTTTTTTTTTTTTGCTATTAGATTAAAAATATTTTTTGAATGTTTAATTAGAAATATTAAATAAAATTTTATTATTTTTTAAGGATTTACCTAACATTGTGTTAAATCTACATATAATAAAAGTGCTAGCAACACCTGATTACTTTCAACTTGGCTTACGGGCGGTATTTGCACCTGAAGAAGAAATAATTCAAATGCCATTTCATCCATTTCCAATGCATTTTCCACAAAATTTTAATAATGAAAATGAAAATGAACGAATGTTGGATGTATTAATTAGCGATTACACTATTAATTCACTTCTCTATCATATGCATAAGTTATTATTAAATTTTAGCAAATTATTTTAATGTTTAATTTTAAATTTAAATAAAAACAAAAAAAAAGAAATTTTCGAAAAAAAGCAAACAATTTCTCTCTTTTTTTTTTTAACATTTAAAATTTATTTTAAATGTCTTGCAAAAAGTTAAAAATTTATGTGAAAAAAAAAATGATGAAAATATTGCTAAAATTAATTTTAAAATAATTTTTTTTTCATTTGCAAAAGAAAAAGAAAAATATATTTGTATTAAAAATGGCAAAGATTAAAATTATTTTAGCAAAAATAATTGAATGATTAAAAAAAAAAATTAAATTAGACAATAAATTTTAGAAATGATTTTATTATGTTTCGTGTTGGACCTGAAACACCTGAATTAAGTGAATTACTTAAAACGACATGTACTGATGAGGATTATGATGATTTTGGTGACTTTGATATTGAAGTAATATTATTTTGTTTATTTAATTTATTAATTTTGTTTGATTTAAAATTTTACAAATAAATTAAAATTTATTATACACAGAAAAAAGGGGAAAAAAAAAACGAAAAACACTTACTTTTTTAGTTTTATTAGTTTACATTATTTTTATTTAGTATATTCCTAAATGAAATAAATGAATTTAAAAATTTTATTTAATACATTCAGTATTAGATTCTTTTGCATAAAAATAAATATTGTAAAATTTTTATTCGATAACTTTCCTTTTTTTTCTTTTTTAATTTAATTAATTTATCAAAAATGATTAAATATTTGATTTGTTCAGGATGACGAAGAATTAGATGATGAAAACAATTCAACAGTAATATTGGCAAAATTAAGAAGACGTCAAAAACGAAGTGTTATCAATAGTGATAATGATAATAGTGATAATAATCAAGAAAGCAATGATAATGACGGAGATATTTTTGGTGATTTAGGTGTATGTCTAGGTGATATTATGCCAGCTATTCGAGAAAAATATCCAAGAAAATTAATTCATGTTAAGATTTATTCTAAACGTGCACCATTTGTGATATTATTAGCTAAAGATAATGGTTAGTTGGTTATTATATAATAATTTAATTAAGAAAAATTATCAAAATGCAGGAATAAAATAATTTGATTTATATTTTTTTGATTTATAATTTGATTTATATTTTTTTTAGCATAATTAAATAAATTTGATTTATAATTTGATTTATATTTTAGCATAATTAAATAATGTACAAATATAAGTAATGTAAGCATATTTGATAATATAATAGAAATAATATATAACTAAATATAATATAAAATTAGATAATGTATAATAATTAATGCAAACATAATTAATAACATAATGTAATTAATTAAATAATATATAAAATTATTAGTGTGAGCATAATTAATAATATAACATAAATACAATACATAATATAATTAATATAAAATAATAATATAAATAATATATAATTGAATAGTTATTAACATAACATAAATAATATAATTAATACAAACATAATAACATAATGTAAATAATATGGATAGTACATAATTAAACAATTAAACATAATATTTAATTAAATAATATATAAGATAATTAATATAGACATAACTATGCAAATATAATTAATTAATATAATTTCATATAATTTTCCTCTAATTATCAGAATTATCATTAATGTTAATATTAATTAATCTTTTTTCTTTTTTATAGGTACAGCACGAGTAAATCTGGAACTTGAAGCTGCATTACATATTAATGATAGCGGTGAAAAAGTTGGTACAATGCTTATCAGTAGTGTTATTGATGGAAATATTCAACTATCAGCTAATCGAGTTAATGTTTTGATAAAAATTCAATCGCTAAAATTGATTGATAAAGAGGAAACTCTTGGCTTACCACCGGATGCATTAGATAATTTAGCTAATTTATCAAAAGATATCATTGCTCAAGTTAGTTTATTTCAATATAATATCCTATTTTTCTTTTTTTTTTTTTTTGATAAAATAAAAGTAAATTATTAATATATAAATGTACTGATAATATAATGATAACTACAAGGGTATCACTGATAAAGTACAAATGCTTTTGATAATGTGTTAAATAATATAAAATAATAATTATATTATGATAGTATATATATTGGTAGGATAAACAGAGCAATTCATTGATAACCTTTAAATATTTTAATAGTTTAAAATTATCTTAAAGAGTACATTTTTGTCATAATTCATTTTGAATTTGAGTTATTTTATTTTTGATTTTTTTTTTTTTGCTATAAGTAAATTATGTAAAAAACCTTTTTTATTGTAATTAAAATAACTTTTCATTTTCGTTCTTATTTTGATTATAATTAGCATTTATTTTAAATTTATCAGTTTTAAAAAAATGATTTTCAAAACAGAAAAATTCTTTAATAAATTATTGGTTAACTAATTGATACACTTTTGAAATGCTGAATTAATACTTTAAAAATTTCAAAATTACAAAAAAAAAAAATAAATTAATGATATTTGAGCAAAAATTTGCATAAAAATTTGATTTAATTTTTCAGACAGTTAGCAATGAGTTATCAAATGGACTTACTATTGAATTAGCAACGGAGAAATTACCATATAATTTAGTAAAACCAAAATTTTCAATCATTGATCATGCAATTCATTTATCAACTGATATTAATATACTTTCAAATATAATTGGCACTAACAAATTATCAACAAATTGTCGACGTTTTTAAAATTTTAAATCATTTTTTTATTTTATGTAATTTTCAATTCTTTGCTAAATAAAATATAATTAATATTCGATATTAATTGATTTAATTAGTATATATACATATATTCTTATGTAAATTTATATAAAAAAAAGTGATATGTGATTTTTTCGTTTTTTTGTTTGGTGTTAAACTGATAAAAGATATGATAAGAGATATAAAAGATATTTTTTTTTCTCGTCAAATTCATTTATTTCAATAAAAATCCAAAAAGCAGCAGAAATCATTTAATGAAATACTTATATTAATTAAAACCATACTTTTGAAATGCGAAAAATTCATCGAAGTAAGTATGGCATTTGAGTATTTTTACTTTTTTTTGGAGAAATTTAATCAATAAAATGGTTTTTTAATTTAGTGAAAATTAATTTAATGAAAATGACAAAACATTGAAATGGAAATGGAAGTGATATTTGCAGCATTTGCTAATTTTTTCGTGCATTAATAATTGGGTAGAATTTCACAAAAAATGAAAATAAAAAATTAGAGGTAAATAGAAGGTAAAAGAGTTAAAAGAGGTAAAATGCTAATTCAGGTAGCTGATAGAAACGACTAATTAAGGTAATTGATAAAAGCGCCTAATTAAGGTAATTCTACTAATTAAGGTAATTGATAAAAACTACTAATTAAGGTAATTGATAAAAACGTCTAATTATGGTAATTGATAAAAACTACTAATTAAGGTAATTGATAAAAACGTCTAATTATGGTAATTGATAAAAACTACTAATTAAGGTAATTGATTAAAACGACTAATTACTAAAAAAAAAGGATAAATGGATTTGATAAAGAAAAGTTTGTGGTAATGAAAATTTTATGCTCGTATATAAACAAATAATAACGGAAAATTACATATATTTATTAACAAATTGTAATTAAATTTTAGCAATTAATTTCAAAATTTGCAATTAAATTTCAGCAAATATTTGATAATATTAAATTTGAAAGAAAAAACAATGAAATTTAAAAAAAAAGCAATATAACTCTTTTATGAATCCATTATAAAAGAAAAGAAATTGATTGAAAGAAAAATTTTGAAATTTTAATTTTTTGCAAAAATTAGTTTTCGATTAAAACAATAGAATAAAATTAGGTTTGAATGTTATAAAATAACATAAAATAGTTTAAGTTTGATTTCATAGAAAATAAAAAGTTTAAACTGATTATTTTCCAAATATTTTGCAAATTATTAAAATTTGAATTTTCATTTTCCTCTCTTTTCTTTCTTCTTTTAATGAGAAAATATTCTTTTGTTTTTTTTTTCACTTTTTTTTTTCATCAAAATTGAAATTAAAATAAGTAAAAAATAATATTTTAATCTAAAACAGAAAAAAAAAACGATGACATAAAAAAATTTATTTGAATTTAACTCATTTTATAATAAATAAATTTGTTGTATTTCATTTGTGTATCGAAATTTCTTTTTGAAAATTTTCATTTTAATTAAAATATTCTTAGATATTAATTAAAGAATGTAATGAAATACAAAAAAAAAGATTTTGAAAAGAATTGAAAATGAGACAATAATTTCATTTTCGTAATGATAAATATAAAATTAAACTAAATTCAATAATTCTTTAATTAATCAAATGTTAATAACTCTAATTAAAAAAAAAAAAAAAAATTAATCAAATGTCAATTTAATAGGAAAGATAATTAATTTGTTTATTATAACGATTGTACTGCACAAGTAATAGCAATAATAATAATAATAATAATAATAATAATAATAATAATAATAATAATAATAATAATAATATAATTAGGAAATTAAGTCTAAGTAAAAAGATTAAAGTAAAATGAAAATTAACTTTGACAATTATTAGCAATATAGTATTGCAATTTTCTGCTTTCTCATCAAAATAATAAAAATTTTTGCTTTAGAAATTTCATAAATTTTAATTTGAAAGAAATTCAATTGATTAATTTGATTAAAAAAAAAAAAGATTTATTCTTAATTTATTCATAAAGCCTTGTAGCATTCAAGTAAATCAGTTAAATGATCAATCGATCAAATCATAAACATTCAGCAAATAAACATCAAAAAGCATTCAAAAGTTGAAAAATTCAAAAAAAAAAGAAAAAAGATAAGAAGAAATGGAATGATTTTATTTTGAATTAAAATCATACATTTAAATTAAAAATTTTTTTATTAAAATTTAAAATTTAAAACTTTGTTTTCTTTTTTCTTTTTTTTTCTTTGATTACAATTTCATTTGTAATCAGAATTGTATCATTTACTATTTTTTTTTCAAAAATTTTATCGTCCATTGCAATTTTTTTTTAATTTATTTTTTTTTCAACTTTTTTTTTCAGTGATAATAAATGATTGAATCAATTTAATTTAAAAATTTTTATTAATAAATTTGTTGTCTTTTCCTTTTTTCTTTTTTGTTTTTATTTTTGTCTTTTTTTTTTTGATCACAACAATATATTATTTATGAGAAATGGCAAACTATAAGTAAAACTTGAAAAGCTTATAAAATACTTTAAAAAAAAAATTTGGAATGCTTATAAAAAAATATAAAATACTTATAAAATAAAAATGAAAAAAAAAATTATTTGGTAATATCTTTTGAGATTTTCGGTTTTCTTTTGTTTTTGTTTCTTTTAAATTTAATATAACTTTGTTTAAAGTTATTTTTTTTTTTTGCATAATTTAATCTAAGCATTACCCAAGGGAAAAAACGAAAACAATAAAAGTCTGAAAAAAAAAAAATTCGAGTAATTTCAAGTAAAGAACTTAAAAAATTTTCTTCATAATTTCTTAAATATAAATTTTTACAAAAAATATCAATGCTTTTCGATTAATTCTTTATCATATTTATTCATTCGATTAGAGCTTACCCGAGAAAGTTACCCGAGATTTCATTTCGTATTGATTTCCTATTTACTTACTTCTTATTTGTCTTTGATAATGATTTAATTTAAAAACAAACAAATAAAGATGCTCAAAAACGAAAGAAAAAATTAATTTTTTTCTTAACTTTTTTTTCAAATAATTTCAATTCTTTTTTTTATTAATAAATTATTTTTTCAATTTCAAAAAAAAATTTTTTTCTTTTAAATTTAACAAAAACGACATGAACGAATGCATTGTTGTTGCATATAAGTTAGAGCTGTTAAACAAACATTTGGATTAATTCGAATCCAATTCATACACCACGGTGAAATATCTGTGCATATTCCTGAAAAATAAATTTTTTAAAAATATATTAAATTTTAAAAATATATTAAGTTATGATATTAAAAAAAAAAAAATATATTAAATTATGATAGTAAAAGAAAATATTAAATTATGATAGCAAAAAAAAATATTAAATTATGATAGTAAAAAAAAAAAAATATTAAATTATGATAGTAAAAAAAGAAAATATTAAATTATGATAGTAAAAAAAAAGTATTTGCTAACAATGTTAGCTAACAAATAATTTAATTAATCAATTTTATCAGAAATTATCACTCCAATATAATAAAATTAAATTTCACATTTTGTTTTAATAAAAAAAAAAAAACGAAATTACCAACCATTATAAATAGTTAAATTTAATGAATTACAATGAAAAAGCAAAAAAAAAAAAGTGAATGAACGAAGAAAACAACAAAAAGTAAACAAAAGTTTAAATTTGAAAAGCAAAAAAGAAAAACGAATAAATGAAATTTTTAAAATATTAGCAAAAAAAAAAAAATTTAAAAAAAAAAATAAAATTTAAAAATAGAAAAAAAAAAAAGAAAACGAAAAAAGCATACTATTTTGAAATTGTTGTGAAAATTTACGTCGAATAATGCTATGTCTTTGTTGTAAATTCTCCAAATGATAATTATAATTGATTGGTCGCAATGACTGTGATTTTATTAGTGGTGGCGCTGTTGTCACAAATTTTCTTGAATATTGAAGCGGAAAATGAAATGTTGAAATACGTTTTATAGCTTTTGTTTCATTATAATTTAATTTAAGTGGTATATCTACTGGTCGTACTTCTGAAAAAAAAATAATTGTAATTATTATTTTATTTTTTTTTTAATTATTATAATTAAATTCCTTATTATTATTATTATTAAATTACTATTTCAATTTTTTATACAAATAAATGAAATGAATTTGTTAAAATATTTGATTTAAGTGCTATATTTATTGCTCGTACTTTTGAGAAAAATATTTATAATTATTATTTTAATTCTTTTTAAAATTAGTTATTATTTTAGTTTTTCTTTTTTTTTTCACAAATAAAATATAAAACAAATTTAGTATTTTTTCTTTTTCTTTTTTTTTTTGAAAATTTTAACAATTTTATATTTATTTTATTTTTGAATAAATTATTAAAAAAAAATAATAATTGATAAACTTTTTGATCGCATAACTGCATCAATAACAACTCGTACACCAGCCCATGTCTCACGACCAGTTGGTATTAATTGTCGACGATCCAAGAGAAATCCATCAAAATCTAAATTTCAATCTTTTTTTTTTTTTTTTGTAGTTTAAAATTTATTTTATTTATTTCAAATAATTTTTTATAATAATTTATTATATTTAAGTGATTTTTATGATTTAAGTATATTTAAGTATTTAAATGATTTAAGTATATTTAAGTGATTTTAGTGATTTAAGTGATTTTTATGATTTAAGTATTTAAATGATTTAAGTATATTTAAGTGATTTTTATGATTTAAGTATTTAAATGATTTAAGTATATTCAAGTGATTTTAGTGATTTAAGTGACATTATATTTACTACGTTTAAAAATTTTTCTTCGAATATTTCAATTAGAATTTTCTTGTGAACATATTCCCATGATATACTTAATTAAATATCAATTAATTAATTAACTAACCATTTTCACCTGGCCTTAATTCAAGCAAATACACAAATTTCACGCCAGCTTTTGATTTAGCCCAATCATCTGAACCACCTGATGATGGATCTAAAAACAATTAAAATTCATTTTTTTTCACAAAAATAC